GGTATCTTCACTTTTGTCCTTGTATTGGTCCTTCTACCTCAAATACCCAGAATAAAAAATCATAATCTCCATCTATTCTTCTCCCTTCCTTTCCTAAGCAGAAATTTCAGAACCATTCTATCTCTTTTCTTGCTCAATAAATTCAATTGGTGGTCAAGTTCCTATGGATTCCATATTCAAATCAACATTTTAGTAAGTACCTTCCTTCTGTCCCCACTACACCATCCATGTAACAGACTTTTCATTGCTGCAGTCTAGCTCAGCTTGTTGGCCTAAGCTAGTTCTCTTTCTCTTGCAGTGCATCCATTACGAGGTGTCTTTAGAAATAAAGATACGAACATTCGTTCAACTGCTTATAGTTGTATATAGTTCACAGAATACTGTATAGTTTCCATTACGAGACACTGAAAGTCTTTCAAAACTTGCCTACTGCCTCTTTTATTACCCTACACTTAGTTACTTCTTTGGTGTGCTGTACTACTTGCTACTTCCAAACATGTAAAACACTTTCACATACCCGTGTCTTTCTTTGTGCCTTTGGCCCCAAATCCTTTTTATTCCCTTTTTCTCAGGGCATCAATAGACTGGGATTCCAATCCCAGCTTTGCTTTTCATGAATTGTGTATTTTAATTAACATCTCATTCCATTTCCTACGTTGCCTGTAAAATTGCTTTCTCCCACAGTCATAATGAGCATTCAATGGAGAATACACTGAGTTTAGCATTGTTCCTGAAAATAACTGCTTGCCTTGAATATTTACTTATTTTGTAAATGTACATGCATATACTTTTAAGATTCATTCACATCATAAAATAAGCCCTGCAATCATTCACATCGGCTAGAATCATGTTCTACCATGTACTAGCTTCGGATTCTTGGCCAAACCACTTTACCTCTCTGAGTTCCCATTTCTTTATTTTATAAATCATGTCCATTACGAGAATTCACTTAGATAATGAATGTGAAGCAGGAGTTCCATAAATGGCAACTATTGTGATTATTAATGTGCCTTCTGCAATATATTTTACTAGGACTTGATTTTCTTTTTCTTGTATTCTTTTTTCGAGACGAAGTCTCACTCTTGTTGCCCAGGCTGGAGTGCAGTGGTGGGATCTCGGCTCACTGCAATCTCCACCTTATGGGTTCAAGTGATTCTCCTGCCTCAGCCTCCCAGGTAGCTGGGATTACAGGCGCCCGCCACCTTGCCCGGCTAATTTTTGAACTTTTAGTAGAGGCGGGGTTTTGCCATGTTGGCCAGGTTGGTCTCAAACACCTGACCTCAGGTGATACACCCGCCTCAGCCTCCCAAAGTGCTGGGATTACAGGCGTGAGCCACTGTACCCGGCCAGGACTCGATTTTCAAGCTCCTTGAGAACAAGGGCTGTTACATTTGTCTTTGTGTCCCCAGCTTTGTGCTTGATAAATAGCTTTTTATATATTCATAAACATCAGACAGAAATTAATGCCTATTTTATAATTTGTCATCAAATTTTCCACTGAATTTTCTTCTGTGTGGCTTAATATGAAAACTAAAAATTATTTAATACATTCATATTTAGTAGAATCATGACTAACACTATCTCCCTTTTTCCATTTTGTGTTTTATTACTATTATTTTTTAAAAATGCATCACTAATTAAAGGTTAAATTGCCCAAGTCTTGGAAATTGAAGGATATAATAGGAAATCTTTTCTTTTTCAATTTTTAGTTTTTGTGGGTACATAGTAGGTATATACATTTTTGGGTTACATGAGATATTTTGATACAGGCTTGCAATGTGTAATAATTACATCAGAGTAAGAAGGGGTATCCATCACCTCAAGCATTTATCCTTTGTGTTAGAAACAATCCAAATCTTTTAGTTATTTTAGTTATACTCTTTTTGTTATTTTTAAATGTATAATTAAATTTTTGACTGTAGTTACCTTTTTGTACCAGCAAATACTGGGTCTTATTCATTCATTCCAACTATATTTTGTACCCTTTAGTCATCCCCACTTCCCCTCAATCCTCCCTGACCCTTCCCAGCTTCTGGTAACCATCCTTCTACTCCCTATCTGCTTGAGTTCATTTGTTGTAATTTTTAGCTTCCACAAATAAGTGAGAATATGTGATGTTTGTATTTCACTTAACATAATGACTTCTAGTTCCATCCATGTTGTTGCAAATGACTGGATCTCATTCTTCTTTTTTAATGGCTAAATAATACTCCGTTGTGTATACGTATCCCATTCTCTTTATCCATTCACCTGGATAAATGGAAACTTAGGTTGCTTCCAAATATTGGCTATTGTGAATATTACTGCAATAAATTGTCAATATAGTGATTTCTTTTTGGTGAGTATATACCTAGGATCAGGAATGCTGGATTGTATGGTAGCTCTATTTTTTTTTTTTTTTTTTGAGGAAATGTTTTATATTTTAAAACAAAGGGCTGAAATTGGGATACTTTCCTCAATCAGACAAAATAGCAATACTTCATAAGTAAAAAGCTGAAAGCTAAATGAGACTGTTTCCAAAATACTCACTAAAGGTGTAGCAGACTAGGGAAAATCCTCCTTTATTTCTTATTGCCTTAAATATCAAGAAAAGCACTAAAGGATAGAAGCCACACCACACCAGGAGTTGTGAGTGGGTGTGGGGAGAGCCCAGGGAGGCAAGAGGTTTAAAATAATTCCTTGCCTTGGTGATGCTGGAGAGAGAAAGAGCGTGTGTAGGGGGTTGGGTGGCGGGTGGGGGTCACCTGTATGTATCTCTCTGTGACAATGTGTAGGGGTTCAACTTCTCTCTGTTCTTGCTTCTTCAAGCCTAGAATTAAATTCTTCATGGGGATGGGAGAGAGTCACTTTTTAATACTGGGACCAATTTAATGTTGTAAACATAGAAACCATGACGCAAATAGGAAAAAGTTGAAAGAAATTAGATTTAATTGTTAATTAGGTTCCATTGAGTAAGAACACTGTAACGGAAAGTCCTTGACATCGGAAAATGCTTACTTCCTAGAACACAGCAGACCTTTAATAATTCCTGAATTTGTAATCACTCAGCTAGATTGAGATTTATCTGCAGTCATCCATGGAAAAGGAGAAAAAGTTTCATGCTTAAACAATTACTATAGAAACAACGTAGCAGGGAATAGGTTTTAATATATTTAAACAACAAGTACCAATAACTATTATGCTAAAATATTATTTTAAAATTTATAATAGTTAATACAGGATAAAGTCTTAAACTTTTAAAATACTTTTGAAGTATATTAAAAAACTAAACAGTTAACAAAAAGCTAAACATTTAAATTTTTAGTGTTGGGAGGTTTTCCAGAGGGTAATTAATCCAATATATCCAGTAAGATATTGCAGTTTAACCAGCCCTCATTGCTCAACCACATGCACACATTATAATTTTTTCATAAAACATAACAGTAGTCTGGCATAGAAGCATACTGACACTCACTGTCTTTGGTATACTGTACCTGTGTTTTCCTTAAATAGGACGTCTGCTCTGCAGCTCTACAGTGGAAAGAGGGTGACTTAGAAGCAGAATACTTAAGTGCAAGTTCAAGTTTGATCCTCAAATTATCCTATGACCCTGAGCAAGCCACTGTATTTCTGTTGTCTTATCAGCAAATAAGAAAATGCCCACCTTAACATCCTCATGAGGTGCTTGCGAGGATTAAAGAGAATACAGCATGGGCAAGGCCTTTTGGAAAAACACAAAAATGCAACATCTATCTAAAGCATACTAAAATGTTCAGTAAGAGAGCTAAGCTTCTCTTGGACCACAGGCTGCCTGACTGCTTCTCCAGAGACAAATAAAATGAACAGTTTCTTATATTTTCTTCCAGAAGCATTCCAAATATGCGGGTGTGCTTTTACTCAAACAGGCATGCTGGATAAGCACTGTAATGGGTCTCGTTACTGCCTTCACTTAGTCACATATCCTAGAGCTCCATCCTCATTGGCACACAGAGTTATGCCTCTTTCTTTTGTAAAATCAGCTTCATGGTATTCTATTCCAGGGTTCTGCTAAATCTTTAAGCAGTCCCCACTCGTGGATATTTTAGAATTCTTAAGAGTCTTTTGATGGCCGGGTGCAGTGGCTCATACCTGTAACAACAGCACTTTGGGAGGCCAAGATGGGTAGATCACTTGAGGTCAGGAGTTTGAGACCAGCCTGGCCAACATGGTGGAACCCCATCTCTACTAAAAATCAAAAATGAACTGTGCATGGTGGCAGGCGGCTGTAATCCCAGCTACTTGGGAGGCTGAGGCAGGAGAATTACTTGAACCCAGGAGACGGAGGCTGCAGTGAACTGAGATTGTGTCACTACGCTCCAGCCTGGGTGACAGAGTAAGACTCCGTCTCAGAAAAGAAAAGAAAAGAAAAAAGCCTTTTGCTTCCACAAATTGTGATGCCATCACTCTCTCTCTGTATAAGTCTAGTCTTTTGTAGCACTGATTTTTTTGAACACCAAGAAAACTAAAGCAATGTTATTGTTTCCTTTGCTGAATTCTGTACAAGGCTGGCATATCTTAGACTCTAGGGGCACAGAGTTTTAATGTTAAATGTATGCTTTTAATAAGATCATTTCTATCAGATCAAAGAACTGCAACAAGACCTTGAAGACAGTGTTGTACTTTCACATGCAAGAATAAAAAATCAAAAAGCAAAGTATCCCTCAGTCTTCACCATTTTTCAAAAACAATAACAGACACCTGCAGAGGGTTCTCTAGTTCATTAGGCATTTCACAAACATTATCTTTTTAGTGTCCCCCATTTAGTGCCTAATAGCATCACAAATTCATAAAATCTTAGAACTAGAAGGGACCTTAAAGTTTTGCTATTTTAATCACTTTTCCCAAATACAAATAATTGCTAAGACTATTCTTAATATCAAAAAGAGTGGATCAAAGAGAATATCAACAAGTTGGATCAAAGGGATAACACATTTACAACTAAGCTTACATAACAGGAAGTTAGGGACAAAACAGCAATGTTGTCAGCAAGCAGGCAGAATAAATGGAGCCAATGGATCTGAACCCTGGACCAACCTGTAGGAGCTGGTGTGCTCGTAATCTAGAATCCCTTTTGTTGTTATCACACCACTTAGCGCATCAATCTGGAATGCTGCTTCTTGGTTGCCAGAGAGAATAGAATACTCAATCAGGCCATTCAAACCACTGTCCAGGTCGGTAGCAAAAACCTGTGAGGAACCGACTGTTTCATTAGACAAGCTTTATTCTGCAGTATGGGTTCAGTCTGTTTTTCAGAGACATGCATTAAGAAAGAATCACAACTTGTCAAACATATTTTAAAATCGATGATTAAATGAAATACCAACAAACAACTGAAGCTTACATATAACTTTATGATAAACTGAGTGACGGAGAAATTCTTCATCCAAAGAATTTCCAAATAGCTCTCAGTAGACATGGTACAAGTTTTTGAGGTATAATTTTATGCAATGGTGTCCCTTCACCCAAGATGCAAATTTCAGGGAGAGAACGTCTGTGTGACCGAGAGAGGCGAGGCAGTTCACAACACCTTTGGCAGGGTGGGAGTGGGAGGCAGGTCAATATCTTGATGACAACCCCACCAGGACTGCGTTGACAGAGGGTCAGACCCTCAAAGGAAGTTTGTGGGGCTGTAACCAAAGGAGGGCATTGAGTAGTGTGGGGGCAAAACCCCAGAAGCAACCACCACAATTGGTATGAGCTCCAGAGCCTCCTCCATTTCTAATTTTCTGAACAGGACACAGCAGAATGGTAGTGCTAGCTTCCTGGGAACTCAATGATTGAAAAATGGAAAGAACAAAGTTCATTCTATCTGTCCCTGACTTGGCCTTCTACAAGTCTTCCATAGTTTGAAGCGCTGATGGGTCAGGCTCTCTCTCATTCAGTGTACCTGGGCTTTATATGGGTCTTTGCCTTCACTTATTTCACACTGAACAATTTAGCTCCATCCCAGCTAGCATGTGGGACAGAGAAGTGAAACGCTGCAGCGCCCCAGTGTGGGGATCCTCTTGTGACAAGGTGGCATTGGAGGCATCTGCCATCCCCACTGATCAGCCTCACTGGGCAGGGATGATAAAGACTGGAAAAGTGAATGTCCTCACTTTCTTCTGAAACATCTCAGTCATGGCTGAAACCAGGGTAAAGACACAGCACATCTGGAACAGGCTGGTGACTAGAGCAATCAGGCTGCTATAATACAAAATACATCTGCAGTCATAGCCTAGGGGATCCCAGATGTCCTGGATGGGGTGTAGGGGTACAGAGCTAAAACTCCAAGGCAGCTGAGACTCTATTGGTCTTGTTTTCACCAACAGCAGGGATATGTGCATCAGAAACTGGAATTGAAGTAAAAGAAAGCTTTTTTTTTTTTTTTGAGACTGAGTTTTGCTCTTATTGCCCAGGCTGGGGTGCACTGGTGCGATCTCAGCTCACTGCAACCTCTGCCTCCCAGGTGCAAGCAATTCTCCTGCCTCAGCCTCCCAAGTAGCTGGGACTACAGGTGCCCGCCACCACACCAGGCTAGTTTTTGTATTTTTAGTAGAGATGGCGTTTCACCATGTTGGTCAGACTGGTCTCGAACTCCTGACCTTAGGTGATCCACCTGCCCCGGTCTCCCAAAGTGCTGGGATTACAGTTGTGAGCCACTGTGGGGTCTTTTTATATAATGAGCTCTTTACTGCACAGTAAAGAGCTGTTGCAGGTTTTGTCCAGAAAATTCGCTAGCATGCCATGAAACGCCTTACCCCACCTAGCCCAAAGAAAAAGCGGTGTAATAAGCATGAAGTGCTGACCACAGCCATGACATTCCAGAGGCCAAAAGGAATGGCCATCGCTGTGGTTAACTTTGCCTGGAAGTTGGATTTACACTGATTTCCTTTGCAGTCATAGGAGGTTGGAGAGCTCCTAATGCCCAGTTTCATGACTGCAAAACTCCGAGGCAGCTGAGACACTATTGGTCTTGTTTTTACCAACAGCAGGGATATGTGCATCAGAAACTGGAATTGAAGTAAAAGAAAGGCTTTTTTTTTTTTTTTTGAGACTGAGTTTTGATCTTATTGCCCAGGCTGGGGTGCAGTGTGAAGGGAAAGCTGAAACAAACACTTGTCCTGACGCAGGTGGAGAAAGTATCAAGGATGGGTGGGTTTTACAGCATGAACAAAACTGCCCTGTGAATGGATGCTTCTCCAGGACTTGAGACCTTTTCCTGAGATGGGGCTAGTCCTGAAAGCAGATCCATCCACATGCCTGTTCACCCTTGAAGATTCAGTGTAAATATCATTATTCTGTGAAATATTACACTTTTCCTCCAGGAGGAGGCTGTGTCTCCTCTCTTCACTCATTACACTAAATGCATACTTCTATTGTATTAATAAATGCATATTTCTAGTGCTCAACAGTGCTCCCAGAGAAAGCAGATGTCAGTAACTGAGCACTGAATAAATAAAGAGGAAGAGACAGTGCAAGAATATCAGATTTTCTTTAACCTAAGGTTTCACCCCATCTATAAAATGTACATGACTTGGAAAGACTGTTGGACTACAGGGCTTAGAAATTTTGATGTGCATTGATTTGTAATAATTCTCTCTCTCTCTCATTCTCTCTCTCTCTCACACACACACACAAATACGTTTCTGTTACCTGTATGACATGAGCATTGTAGAATTCGCCTTCAGACACTGATGCTTGGTAAACACTTTGTTCAAAGCGTGGTGAATTATCATTCTCATCCTGTATCAAGACTGCTACTTTGCAATAGGCTCTATGCCCGCTACTTTCAGCTAAAACGATGAGTTGTACCTCATTTCTGACTTCAAAATCAAGAAACTTGGGTTCTTTCACAGTGAGTTGTCCTATTTTTATTACCAAGGAGGAAAAAAAAAGAAAATGATGTTGTAGTTATTCTTTTATTTTTATTTTATTTATTTATTTATTTTTGAGACAGTCTCTCACTGTCGCCCAGGCTGGAGTGCAGTGGCAAGATCGCGGCTCACTGCAACCTCCGCCTCCCGGGTTCAAGTGATTCTCCTGCCTCAGCCTCCCGAATAGTTGGAGTTACAGGCACCTGCCACCACGCCCAGCTAATTTTTTGTATTTCCAGTGGAAACAGGGTTTCACCATGTTGGCCAGTCTGGTCTCAAACTCCTGACCTTGTGATTCACCTGCCTTGGCCTCTGAAAGTGCTGAGATTATAGGCGTGAGCCATAGCACCTGGTCGTAGTTATTCTTAAAATGACCCAAAGCATCTTTGCCTCATGTGCTCACAGCTCACCTGTCCCGCAAAAACTTCCCATTGGCAGGCCTCCTTTCCCCACCAACCAGGGTCATTGTGAAAAGATTTGGGATCTTGCAGATGTTTGCAGGTTCAAATATGTAGAGGGAAAGAAACCAGGAAATACCAAGACCTGGGAGCTATCTCTCTCCATATTTCCCCCCAGCCATGTCTGGTAAGTCTGTCTTGCAAATATATCTTCACTCCAGTCTCACTACTGCTGCCCTCCTTCAAGCCACCAGCACTTCCCACCTTGTCCCCTGCATTAGCCACAAAACTGGTCTCTCCCCAATCCAGTTTTCATTCTGAATTTAATAAAAAAAGACACTGTTATTGTTCTGCATGAAACCCTTCCATGACCATAATCTGCATCTGCTCCTTGAATACTTATTAAAGAGTCATCATGCATACAATTCCATCAGCCTGGAATGGCTCCCACAGCTATCCTTCCTCAGGGATTTTTCCACATCACCATCCCTGTACCATTAGCCTCCCAAAAGTCTCTTACAAAGCCTCTGCATTTTCCGGCAGCTGCATCATCACTTTGTTCACCTTCACCTGTCTTTGTCCTATTACTCCTCTTGTTTATAAGCTCCATACACCATCTCTTATGCACCATCATCTCTCCAATGTCTAGCTCAGGGTCTGGCCTCCCGAAGGCACACAGTAATACTTTTATGCCCTCATATAAAAGGCAGATCCAGGTTAGGGAAGCAGATTTTTGAGGGTGATGCCATGCTCTAGTTTCCCCCACCCCTGGCAAATTAAGAAACTTAGTCCTTTAACATAATTTCCATGTCTAGTTTTTACTGTTTTTTTCCTCGACTTTACAACAAAATTTCCGACTCAATGTATTATTTTTATTTACTTGGCTTTCACTGTCAGCAAGTCCATCAGATAGACAGTTGCTGAATGAACAGTAATTTGGAGTTAGAGAAACCTGAAACCAGGCATAAATCCCAGGCCTAGAAATTTAATTTAGGTCAATTACCTGGCTCCACCACCTCCTAACTTTGTGACCTGGATAAGTTATGCGGTTGACCTAAAGCTGAGTCTCCTTTTCTGTAAAATGGGATGTTAACAATGACTTCGCACAGTGGCTGTGAGGAGCAAGTGACATAATGCATATTTGGAATGTCTCTTTGTAGTAACAGGTAGAGTCCATGATGTACTACCCATGTTTGTCTAACCCTCATCATCACATAAGGATTTAATATCTCTGTGAACTCTGAATTTAGAAAGAGAACATTTAACAGCCATAAACTACTAGAAGTTCGATCCTCTAGTAGAAGAATCTGTACTGTTTCCAGAACTATGGCCTGGGAGCTGCAGTTTTTATTGCTCTATCTGAATCAGCTTCCCCAGATAACCTAGTCCAAGAAGCTTTAGGTCATCTGGTACCTACTTGAATTCTAGTGGGAGGCATATCCTGTTCAGATATTCTATCTTTGTTATTGGGTGCTTTGGGGGAGATTTTGTAGTCTATATTCTGTTAGGAAAAACCCCACTATATTATATATTAACTCACTATACTACCAAATATAAAATTTCGTATACTCAGTATCATTTTTTTGACATCAAATTTAGTTACCAGTTTAGTAATAGAACCAAATTACTTCACAAACCACAGTCTGTCGTGACCAACACCCCTGGCAGAAAATTTAGAGTAGCTCTAACTTTGGGCAGCTGGAGAATAATTAAGATGCCTTTGATATGCTGGTGATGAAAGTAGGTGGGCTTCAGAAACCTCCCTGAAACAAAGGCTGATTCCCACACTCCAAAATGTTACTGGAGCCCGAGTCTGAGGTGGGTCCACAGCTCTCACCCAGATCTCTCGTCTCCACCAAACAGAGCACTTGCCTGGCTATCATGTTCTGTTACTGTTTGTAAAGGAAAAATGGAATAGAAATGCAACACTAAATTGCCCATGTCACTGAGGAGAAAGTGTGCCAATTATAGTGCAGATCAAAGTAGGTTTTTAATAAAAGGCTTGTGTTTAGGCTTTGATAATTGGAATTTTGCACTTGGAATGAGTCGACGGTTCTAATGCTTTCCTTGCATGGTTTTTATTTTTGGGGTAATAACTGGCATATGCTGTGAAAGTCATGCAAGTAGAAAAGACAATAACCAGTCTGTGGGATGATTCAAGGCTGGCTCACCTACTAGATCCACATTTTTCCTTGGATAATACATGTGTAGTTTTCACAAAGGCATCAAGCATGTACTGTCATCAGTGAGATGAAAGTACTACTGGGCTCTGTCTAATGGTATAAGCGGAAACTAACACCTTCCTTAGAGTAAGAAGCCTCACAAATGCTAAATTCATGTCCTTGCTTATATGTTGATGTGCCACTTATGTAATAACTTGAGAAAAAAATTGTAGTAACATTTTTCTTCTAAAAAAATACATACATTGTATAGCTTTTGGCAAAGTTATGAAATACACATCCAAATGAGATTAAGATTCATCAAATGTTACATGCTTGATAACATAATCAGGTTATTTCCATCAATTATATACTGTGTACATGCATTTGTGCAAATCAAAGCAGAATGTGATATTTACGTTATTCAGTAACTTTCAAACCCTCTCCTACTTAAACAATGTCTTTGAAACATTGAAAGTTTGATCAGTTTTGTTTTGCGCCACTCTAATAATACTAAAACGAATGCTGCCATCTGTTATTTACATACAAAACCTTAGTCAAGCTCTAAAATTGCTGCTGGTTTAGACAGTGAGAAATACATGTTTTTACGCTAAAGTGGCATGAAGTTTAAATACAGAGTCAATTTGGTTTGTGACTATGGAACAGAGGGTAAACTGGCACAAATTGACAGAAAACACAGTTCTCATCAGAGATCTGTCTAATGACAACTTATTAAACTAATTACTAATAAAATGGTTTTCTCACACTTTTATTCTTGTTACTATAATCTTAAAGACAAATATTATTGATTTGTTATACGTATTAGTCTCACATTTTAAGTGGTGTATGTTTAAAATACATACATTCAGAAAATCTATACAATTAGATACAATTTTAATGGTAATTTGTCAAAGGTAGCACAAAAGATGCATTTAATATCATAATTAAAGTTTTAAAAAAGCTTTCTTGACAGCAGTATGGTAAACTATACACTTAACCGAGCTTCATGATAAAAACAACTAAAATGCATGATAAATTATATATATATAATACACATATTTGCATAGATATGTATGTGTATGTATTACAACGTATTATTGAGTTGGTACAGTTGTAAGAATTCCACAGAGGACAAAACAGAAATGAAGACAGGGATCCTGAGAGGTTAGCAAGTAATTACAGCTCAGTTTTGTTCCAAAGATTTCTACCACGACCTTCTATCTTACTATTCATTTCTGATAGTTGCATGGAGTGTGGAAAATAAGGTGAGAACTCACAAAAGGTGAAGAGGCTAATAGGGAAAACCAGCATAAAGCTGGACACCTAAAGGCTACAAATATTCCAAATCAGTGGCCATTATTGAAAAAAAAAAAAAAAGAAACAAAACTGAAACTGAAGCAGAATTAGCAATGTGAACATAACTGAAATTTGCCGAAGTGTTTCAAATTGTGTAGATATTAAAGAACAAAATCATGAATACAATCCTCAGATGGATGCATCATCAAAGTCACCCATATGATCACAGAAGGATTACAATCTGCAGCAACAGTGATGAGTTAAAAAGAAAGAGATTACAACTTCTAATTACAATGTTCTTCCAAAAGGTATTGGCCAAAAATCCACCAGAAACTTGACTCCTTTTTTTAACCTTGGTGTTGATTGAAAGGGAGAAAAAAACCTTATGTATTAGTTTAAGCCTGGATTTATGGTAGCTACACTATCATAGTTATACATATTTAAAACTCTTAGAAATTAAATTTAAACTAGCTTCTCCCTGATGATTCTCCAGGTGAATTGCAGAAAAGGAAGCAAATCCTCTTTTACGGGCATAAATTCAACCAAGGCTTCAAAGAATCGTCAAAGAGCTTTCAAGGATAATGAGTAGCTCATAGTCTACAAGCACTAAAAAAGTAGAGAAACAAGGCACCATAAATGACAGAAAGCAACCCATAGACAACAGAACCAAACAATCAAAGACTTCAGATGCAGGAATTGTTGGACACAGAATTACTATATATGTTTAAATACATTAAAAACCCTTGGCAATAAGAGCAAGGAACAAGAGGCTATTTTTCAAAAGCAAAGAAGAGTTGAAAAAGAACTCAACAGAACTTTTGGAAATGAAAAATACAATTCCCCAGAATGAAGAGAAAGATGAAAAATATAAAAAAGAGATGTAGGAGAGATCACATAACCCAACATTTGTCTAATTGGAGTTCCAAGGAAAGATACAAATGAATGGCGTTTAGATCAACAGCTGGCTTCTTAATGCAACAATGGGACGCCAGAAGCCAGTAGAATAATATCTTACTATGATGAGAGAAAATAACTGTGAATCTAGAATTACAAGATGAGCAAAAGTATTTTAAAAGCATGGATTAAATAACTACATTTTTTGACTACCTAAATCTGAGAGAGCTTACTATATAAACCA